TAAAAAAAACCAAATGATAGATAAAGACATGCATCTAAATAAAAAAAAATATACTGATTTGGTCATTTTTGATAAAGTTATAACAATTAACAAAGTTATAAGTTTTATACACTGGACTACAAGGAACTTCCATCAGAAACAAAAATATACTATTCTAAATCAACTTTTCGCGATGTTTTAAAATGTGCAATTAGACTTTTTCTATAACTTCTAAGTTTTAATATTATTAAAAAATAGTTTTTACATATAAAAAAAAATAATTAAGAACAAAAAAAATTGTTTTAAATTAATACTGATTTGATATAATATTTAATATTAATTTGATTATTAATAAGTTAAAAATAAGGAAAATGACATATTTAACCAATTTTGTTAATCGTTTAAAGTTGATTGTTGTAAATGTTTATAATAAAAAAAAAATTTATTCTACCATAACTTTTAGCTCAATTGGTAAGTTTGACATTGACATCATTAAATAGAAAATTTTATGACAATTAAAAAAATTGTATCGTTAAGATCAATTTGCAGTCAGAAAGTTTTATAATTACTATTTATTGTAAATTTATCAGAAAAGCTCAACATTTTTTTGCATTTTTATGGTAATAGATAACTTAAATAGGAGTAATAGTGTTAATTTCCTAGTAACTTTTGTTGTTTGAAAAGATTCTACAATTGAAATATTGAGAACTTAATTAATTTTAATGATTTACTTTAACTTTAAATCAAAACAAAGTTGTTAAAAAGATCTACTTAATAGCCTACTATAAAATTTGATTATAATTGTAAAAATCCATTATTGATTCAGGAGAAACTAGCAATCATTTTTTTTATAAATGATTTATACAGAGTGTTCAGTAACCCGTTTCCTGACTTACTGAACACCCTGTATAGCAACATGTTACCAAAAAGTTTTGAATATTATAGTCTAGTAGTAGCACACACAAATAGAGTAAAAAAATTATTAAATTACAAAGTAATATGATTAAATTTTGTAGTTGAAACCTATCATATCAAACTTCATTCGTCAATAAATACTTTGAAAACATTAGAAATTAATGATTTTAATTGTCTTTATGGAGACGATGTAATAACTAACTGTTTAATTGATAAATTAGAATTTTTTTTTCAATTTTTGAGAGTAATATCTTCAACTAGATACGAATTGTAGTAATTTGACGTATTGTTGAAAAAAGTAGGTCAAGTTAGAGCAGAGAAAATAAATGATAGTCACAAAAAAATATCTTCTCGGCTTTGCATCGAAGCGAAAACTTAAAATATAGTAAAATAATTTTAATACGAATAAGAAATTTCTTCTTGCAAGGGGCGACTAAAGTGATGGGATCCTTGATCTTTATTGAAGTTATTGAATCTAAATGTGATAAAAATCAAACGAGTTAAAATTTATACTAACTTAAAAAGAATTAAGAAAAAATGCAAAAAATTCATTGCCATATGCGGGTTGGAACCTCGTACCCCAAGCGTGTAAAACATAAATTTTACCAACTCGGCAACCGTACGTTGCTTCCGGCGGTTGAAAAATTGGCTATTTAAGCTAGTTCAAATTTCAAAGTTATTTTTCTCGACTTAAAAGAAACAAACATATTTAAATAAGTTTAACTATCTATACTATATCAATTTTAATTTATATAATATTTATGAAAATCTGTACTCCCCTTGTCAGGTATTTTAAAATAAAATAAAATACAAAACCCAGAATTTTAACACAAAAATAGCATATTTTTGCATACGGTAGTCATTTTTACCATGAAGACAAATCCAGAGGTCAAATTTTTTTTTTTCACATTAAAGTATATTACATAAGCTTTAATTTAAGATATATATAAAACTGTCAGTATTTCCGGAATACTTTCAAAAATTAAATTGAAAATATCATAGTAACAATACGCATGTTTAAAGTTTTGACCCCCCTTGTTAAAGGGGTATGATCCGATTTACAAAAAAAGCGTGCCAGATGAAAGGGGTATATCAATATTTATTATAAAAAAATAATAATATAGATCCATACATTTTTCCAAAAGTTATATAAAATATAAATTAAATAATATAACATATAAAATCGAGATTTTTTTCACGGAAATCGTACGTTTTTCTTTAACTTTGATGTCCGTTTTCACCACGAAGACAAGTCCAGAGGTCAAATTTTTTTTTTTCAAATTAAAGTATATTACATTAGCTTTAATTTAAGGTATATATAAAATTGTCAGTCTTTCCGGAACATTTTCAAAAGTTAAGTTGAAAAAGTTAATTTTTTGTAAAAAAGTTACCATTTTGAAACCCCATCCTTTGGGCTGTTAAAGGGTCAAATGTTCACAAAAATATATAAAATGATAGGTAATTATCTAAGGTATCTATAAAAAAAAAAATTATATTGATTTGATCATTTTTAAAAAAGTTATGGCACTTTTAAGTAAAAAAAATTGAAAAAATATCGAAAATTAGCGATTTTTAAATTTGTAATTTTTTGGGGGATTTCCCTCGTTTACGGGGAACGAGGGAATTTTTTTCAATTTTTGAGGGTAATGTCTTCGACTAGATACGATTTGTGATCTTTTGACATATTGTTCATTAAAATCGGTCCAGCGAGAGCTGAGATTGAACGTTCACAGACACAAAAAAAAAAAATAAAAAAATAAAAAAAAAACACATCATAGTAAAATTAATACCTTCTCAGCTTCGCATCGAAGCTAAAAAATAATTTTAATATTAGGTCTAAGTATTAGTAATTTATAGCAACAAAAAATGATTTTGTTACAATAGTTTATAAGTTATATACTACAAATAAATTTAACGTCATATCCTTAGCAGAACCAAGTAATTTAAATTATTGAGTTTTTTTTTAACTTCGATGAAAAGCTGAGAAGGTATTAATTTTACTATGATGTGATTTTTTAGCTTCGATGCGAAGCTGAGAAGGTATTGGTTTTACTATGATGTGTTTTTTTTTTGTGTGTCTATTACTTCTTTTTCTCAGTTCTCACAGAACCGACATCTTTCAATGATACGTCAAAAGATCACAAATCGTATCTAGTCGAAGACATTACCCTCAAAAATCGAAAAAATTTCCTTCGTTCCCCGTAAACGAGGGAAATCTCCAAAAATATTACAAATTTAATAATTGCTAAATTTCGAATTTTTTTTTACTTAATACTGCCATAACTTTTTTAAAAATGTCCAAATCAATATAATTTTTTCATGAGTAGTCTTTATGTACATCCTTCATTGAAAATACTTTATTTTAAATAACATCATTTCCCTATATATATTTATATATTATTATTATATTATATATATTTATTCGTGTATTACACTTATAATTCATAAAACTTGTAATCAGGATATAAATAAGGAAATAGCAGATTATGTTGCTTTTGAAATAATCCACCAATTTTTTAAAATTAAACTTTATCTACAGATTTGCATCGAAGCATTTTTTATGATAGTGATTTTAATTACTGACAGATACCGTTATACTTGACCCAACTATGCCACATCCCCACTGTGACGCGACCCCACAGTGCTGAGTTTTTTATTTCTAGGCTTATTATCTTGGTATATATGTTAATCGATTTTTAATCAGTTTTATTTTCTTATAATTAAAACTTATGTTATAGTTAAACAATAACATAATACTTAAGTAAATTTAAGTACAGCAAATTTTATAAATTTAAAAATAAAAACTACAGTATCATGCATTTATTTCACAAAACAAGTATAATAAGTGTATACTCTTAAAATTTAAAAATCAGTTTAATACAATTAATGTCTTTTTTGAAATTATTTATTAAATTACCATCAATAAATAATAAAAAAAAAAAAAGGTCTTCAAAATGCTAGGGACGCAGTTTTCAAATTGTTAGGTTAAGCTCCCCTACTTATTTTTTGTCAATTCGAGCACTGAATATAACTTATTTATGTATTTAAATATTTAAATAAATATATATATATTATATATTATATAATTTAGTAATAAATATAAGTCCAATAGTATTCAATTTTAGAGTGAAACGGAGGTAACCTATGATCATCGTGCTTTTAAATTTAATATTTTATAATATTTTGGTAATGATAGATCATAAAAGCCACCGTAGGTGCTATCACTTTTATTATACGATCAAAAACATTAATGGCGATACGAAATAGTCACCACTAACTGAGTATAGAAAATGAAATAGAGCGCTTCAGGTACTACTGTGATACCAATTCAGTCATACCACCCAATAGTGGCTATAGTATTCAAGGGCTATAGCCCACATTGGTAAATTATAACTGTTAAAAAATTATGACTTGAGCATAAGTATGAGTATACAATAAACAAAAACCCTGAAAATATCGAACAAAAGTCTATGACATTTTATTTTCAGTATACAGAATGTAACATAGTATTATTTTGCATATACCAATGTTAAACCTGTATACAGAAAATACTAAATACATACTTTTGTAACACTCTATATATTGAAATCATTGTGTTCTATACTTTTGTAACATGCTATATACTGAAAACTCTGTTATATAACTTTGTTACACCTTATATACTGAAATCATAGAGTTATATACTTTTGTTACACATTATCTACTAAAAACTATGTTATATACCTTTGTAATACTCAACAGATTTATATACTGAAATCATTGAGTTATACACTTTTGTTATATTAAAATTAATGGTTTAATATTGTAGCAGTGATATAGTTAGGGGAGGAGTGATAAACTGCAGCTTCCCCCAAAATTAAAATAACTACTGAATTATTTACTAAAAATTATACTTGGAACTGTTTGAGGAAAGAAATGGTCATCTAAAATAATTTTATTATGAAGTAATAAAACTAATCTCTTTAATTACATGCTCCCTCGTAAAAATTGTAGCTATGCATTTGATTAATATTAAGATTGTTTCTACGTGTTAAAGTTCAATTCATTTTAATTCACTTCAAAAGAGTTATTTATATTATTTCAAAATGATTTGGGAATAATGTGCTGGTTGATTTTTTAACATAGAAACAATTGTTTATCTTTTTCCATGTAAACGTGTTTATCTAATTATGTGAATTTATAAACACAAAAATAATTTTGTCATCACTTAGTGCTGGAATTGTTAGGGTGTAATAAAGTGTGAAATTATTTTTCAACGTCTTACTCCATTTTGAAAAAAATCTCTTTAAAAACTTTTCAAGCGGATCATTAAATCATAGAAAAAGACACCATGAATAATTCAACACCTATGTATGAAACGCATAGTTTCATCGAGTGTCTTGAAAGTAAGTAGATAATTTTTTATATAATAGTCAAACGAAAATTATTCATTTAAGTTGCTAGCAATGTAACAATTTTATCGTATATTATAATTTTAGATGCTGCTATGCCTGTAATGAAGGTTTCCAAAAGCTTGAAACACACCATTTTGAATTGGATAAAGCCATTAACGCTTCAGGAAAAGGTAAGTTCCAAAATTATATTTCATCCAACTATATTATACTATATTATATTATATTATATTATATTATATTATATTATATTATATTATATTATATTATATTATATTATATTATATTATATTATATTATATAATATTATATTATATTATATTATATTATATATATATATATATTGATCGAATTAATAATTTCAGCTGGAGTTGCACAAATCTATTTATCCTATGATGGAATGGTTAAATACAATGGAACAAATTATTTCATCTCTTGGATCAGAGTTGATTCGAGTTGATAAAACAACCGCAAGGGCCAGACTAATAAATTTGCGCCATTTCATGCAGAAAATCAAAAATAAACAGCATGAAAAAGATTGGATAGTTAAAACGTCCAAAAAAATAATTAAAAAGTTGGATTATCTAGATTCAATAATTATGGTTCATAAATGGGCCTCTGACATTCAAACTAAATGGGTTAACATTTGTGTAATGGCAATGAATGTAACTATTTTTCAGTATTTGACTTACAATATTTTGATTTATATTAATTATTTCAGTTGTGAAATATGCATAATTATTAAAATAATAAAAATTATTTTTAGCTCGAAAAGATACTTTTAAAAATGTTGACGGATGATGGGAAACAATCGAATGAAGTTTCAGCCGATCAGTCGAAAACAGCGGCTGCTTCTACTGTGGTGGTTTGACCAGTTTTTATATTTTTCCATAATTGGTGCCTTAAAATACTTCAATTAAAAATTGTTATCTCAACAAATTATTAATATTATTTTATACGTGTTACTTACAATTTTCTGTCAATCACCAAGACTTTGTAGCTGTACTTACAGTGATATGATTATTTTTCATCGTTTAATGTGTAATGTTAACAAATTGTGAATTTTTTATTCATTAATTTCTATAATTGATAACTTTCTATATTTTATGTATTATAAACACATTCTGTGTAATTATTAAATTTTTATAATTTCTTACTACATTATCATTAAATAAATTAATAATATTTTAATAATTATTCTACTTCATAAAGTACATTACATTCAAAATTCTTTAAATTGTATTTATGTGTCGTATAAATCAGAGCTGGAAACCGAAAAATTTTGGATTTTGTCAATTTTTCTTACATCTAGTAAATTAGTTCATTTATATTGGTTTTCTTCTAGTACATATTGTAAAACTATTGCAGAAATATTATGAGACCGCCTTTGAAACCTTAATTTAAGTTAAAATTTGATATTAAAAAGTTTAAGGCAGTTTAGGTTTTATAAGCGATTTTAACTATTAATTAACTTTACAAATTTTTGAAAAACTATATATAATAAAACTTTTCGAAAAACTGAAATAATTTCATGTTCATAGCACTGGTACAGATATAAAAAAAACCCAGAACAGGGGGGTCGCGGCACAGTGGTGACGTGGCATAGTTGGATCAAGTATAATGATATCTGACAGTGATTAAAATCACTATAAAAAAAAAACGCTTCGATGCAAATCTTTAGATAGTGTTTAATTTTAAAAAATTGGTGGATTATTCCAAAAGCTTCATAAACTGCTAGTTCCTTATTAATATCCTGATTAAGATAAAGTATGTCGAATGAAAAAGGGATTATTAAAAAATAGTATTTCCCATAAAAAAATTATATTGATCAATACACTTTTCAATAAGTTATAGCATTATAAAGTTAAAAATGTAAAAAATAAAATCGAGAATTTTCACACAATAATAGCATTTGGTAGCCATTTTCACCGTGAAGACAAAATAAAGTCCGAAATTTTTTTTTTACATAATAAAGTAGATTACATTAGCTTTAATTTAATATATATATAAAAGTGTCAGACTTTCCGGAACACTTTCAAAATTTAAGTTGAAAAAGTCAATTTTTTGTGAAAAAGTTGTCATTTTGAATCCCCCCCTGTATGCAGGTAAAAAGTCAGATTTATAAAAAAAATATACCAAATGATAGGTAAAGACATGCATCTATAAAAAAAAGAATTATATTGATATGTTTATTTTTAAAAAAGTTACGGCAGTTTTTAGTAAAAAAAATTGAAAAAATTTCGAAAATTAGCGATTTTTAAATTTGTAATTTTTTTGGAGGTTTCCCCCATTTACGGGGAACGAGGGAATTTTTTTCAATTTTTAAGGGTAATGTCTTCGACTAGATACGATTTGTGATCTTTTGACGTATCATTGAAAGAAATCGGTTCGGTGAGAGCTGAGAAAAAGTGGTAACAGAACCAAAAAAAAAAAAAACACATCTTAGTAAAACCAATATCTTCTCAGCTTCGCATCGAAGCTAACATATTTTCTATTTGTTTTTTATCATAATTTTATATTTTTACTCTATATTATCTACTTTATTTTTAAGAACGTTTTAAAATTTTTAAATCAATGAAATATTGATTGCACTTTGAAAAACATTAATAATGAATGTCTAATAAAAATTAACCAGTTTGAAGTTAAACTTTTAATGCAGTTCTTATTTGTTGATAAGGAAGCTTATAACGTTTAATTACCTAGACAATGTTGTAAGTCAAGGATTAGTTTAGCAGGATTATGGGTGCCTTGGGGTAAAGGAAACATTCCCTCCTTAAATAATTGCAATCCTCAAAAAGTTGTTTTTTTAAAAAATAAATGCGTGAATGATTTTTTATCTAAAATAAAATTTGATAGTAAATATTATATAGTTATTTATGTAGAATGTATAAGTCGTACTTACAATATTACTTTATTATCATGGACACTAGACAGTGTTTATTAAATCATGAATATAGATTAAAAACACATATTAATTTAATATGCATAATTATTTAATATTTTAAATTAGAAGTTTTATAATTTGATACATTTGTTTTTTTCCCGATGTATACTTTAAAAAAAGTTTAATGGCTAAAGAAAAAAGTTTTGCTCCCTTTGAATTTTATCAGAAAGGTATCCAAAAGAAGTTATAAAGTGGAGGAGACTCAAATCCCTTACTTTCTAAAGGTAATTCAAAAATGTTCTCTTTAAGAAAATTCGAAAAAATCCTCAGAATGTTTAATTTTTTAATCGAAAAGATTTTATTAAGCTATAAAAAAACGAAAAATAAAATTAATTTTGAAAAATCATATTTGTAATAGTACACAGTAGTAAATTATATTAACAGTAGTTATTTATTCTACAAAATATTTATTACCTTAATAATATTTAATACCTTATAACAACTTATTAATTATTTTTAATGGTTAATAAACTTATTAACTATTAAACACATTTTTTTAAATTATTAATTTTATAAGTTTCATGCTTATTAAGAAATCGAATAATAAATACATTAATATATAATTCGCTATATTTTTTTCGATGAATAACCTGAATGGTTAGTTTTGCTCAAATCAATCTCAATTATGAAAATTGGTCTATAGCACATTCAGAAACTGAATGTTGGTTTATTAATATTTATGAAGTACGTAGTTAAAAGAAAAAAAAGTGTAAAGTCTTTTGCATCCTATCAAAATATTAAAACTCTTAAAATGGTATATGAAATGGGTTAGATGACAACTAGGAAAAGTTGACGAATTCAGTATTTCACAAAATTAATCACACATCTTATCTAGCATAAAAGTCTCATGTGATACACAATGATATTCTCTAGTATAAACACACGTGGGAGTATGTTAATTTAAGTTGTTGTTAGAAATTCTTACATAGTGTGTTTAAATGTAATTTTTGATCATTAAAAATTTAGGTATTATTATGATATGGAAAATTGTTAAAATTTCTCTTTTAAATATTCTTGAAGTACTGCTTAATACCTATTGCTCACAATGGCGTACACAGTAATTAAAATGGGGAGGTTTTTGAAATTTAAAGAAAATTTGATGTGATACTGCCCATATTATTCAATCACAAAAATTCCTGTTTTTAATTAATTTATTGTGGAAATATTTATAGAATGATATGATCTTTTTTATTGTTATTATTTATTGTTTATCGTCCAAAATTATCGCTTAGCTTATAAATTTTAGGGGGGGTTCAGCCCCCAAACCCCCCTAAGTACGCCAGTGATTGCTTATAAGAAATCCATTTTATTTGTAACAGTTTTGATTACAAATTTTTTACAATAATTATCAAGGAAACTAAAAATTTGCCCTATAAAAGATAAAAAGACCATTGAAAAAAATTATGGTGTTAGTCTAGATATAGAAGTAGTTCTCATGCAAATTTTAGATTTGATATTTATTCTCAGAAGTGAATAAATACCACAGAAGTTTAACTTCACCATCTTAAATCGTCTTATTCAACTAATAAATTAAAAAGTATTATTGTAATTTTGCATTGTTAAGGTTTATTGTAGATTATTATAAATTTAGATTGTACTTCAATATGTTAAACATATATTTGCTATTGTCTTGTTTGGACTTTTGTAAAATTATGTTAAACAATTTATGAATTTAAAAACATACATTTTCTCAACAAATATAACCGAGAGTTAAAAAACCATCAAGTTGAACGTATGCTAATAACTGAACCTGTTCTACTAAATTTTCTACTTGAAACAGAACTAGATCTTTTAGCCTTCTTTTTTTCTGATTTTCTTTTTTTCTTTGATTGATTTGTATCACTTGTTTGAAATTTGAACATTTTATAGAGCATTCTTATTGTTATAATCATAAATAACCCGAAACCAACTCCTATACATATTAATACCACAAAGACGTGATAAGAATCATTTTTTTGATTTGGATTTTTGTTTCCGTTAGGTAAGAAATTCCATATTGGTGACCAATCATCGGATTCCTTTTCTGAAACTGTTATATCTGCAGTCGAGGCTAATGTTGTGAATTGAGATAACTTTGATTTGTATAACAAACACGATGGAGAATTTCCAGCAAATCCAGTAGTTAACTTTGTAGATACCGGTAAGTAAACATTTTTTATGAAATTAAGTCTATCGCCATTAGTTAGTTTTGCAACCTAACAAAAAACCACTCATTCTATAAATAACATAAAAAAAATTATAAGAATAACATTTTAAGTACCAAATCAACTTGCTTCGTAATCACATTTGCCATATAAATGCTAACGTAATGTAAGATTTCCATTTGAAATCTAATTCTTTTTGGCCCATCTACATCATTTAAAATTGTTGTAGCTGATCTTAAATATGACATCCATTCAGTAGCTTGAATTGATTTCATACTGGGACAGATACTCCTAGAGTTTGACTCATGATTACATTTTTGGTCAATTGCAATTTTCAAGGCATTGGCAAATAAATGTACCGAATAAGCCAATGGTATAACCGATGAGTCCAATTCGTCCTCCATGAGATCCTAAAACATATATAAAATTTATTAATAAAACAAACAAAAACAAAAATGTTTATCACTACAAATATAAAACTCAAAACTAGTATATCGTAAGTATAACAATGATTATTTTAGATTAAAATAAAATTTAAACTTTCATACAATACCTTTGGTATTTATGGAAACTAGAGAAAGTTGGCTACTGGGATAAGTTGACTCACATCATTTGATTGGTGCGTTAATAAATGATCACAAGTTAAAAATACTAAATTTTCAGAAAAGTAAAAACCCTTTTTTTTACAATAATCATAAGGTAGGTTAGTAGTAAGAGTAAAGTTTTTGGTATCTGAAGGAAGACATCTGGTTTTAAATTAGTTTATTAATTTATCATTGATACATTTTTCTCAGCGGTTTTTATTAATAAAAAAAATTACAAAATAATTCTAGTTATTCTATTGGAATTTGTATAAGATAAATACTTTTTTTTAAATACTAGTTTCTTAACAAATTATTAGTGAATACAATTATATTTAAGTATAAATACATTATTAATTAAGTCGTAGAAATTTGAAAAATAAAAGTAAAATAATTATAAGAAGGTCTGATTTATAATAAAAAAAAATCTAAATGTTTAATGTAATGCAGCAAGAAGATATCATATAATAAATTTGTAGTATATTAATACCCAATGCTTTAAAAATATAAATAAGATTGAATTTTTTGATATAACTAGTAAAATAAAAATCGCTTAAAAAATATATCACCACTCAAAATTTGCTACCTTAGGCACTATAACCTATATGCAAATAGTCAACTAGCTTATATAAAGATATTAATTCAACATGGTCCAATATATGAGTCCATTTACTCCTTTGATGGTGTAAATAGAAACAAAATTAATTTTTGATATTTTTATCTCTAGGCAAAGTAATATAAACAATTAGGTTAAATTAATGCGTCACATCAAAACCTATGTATTGTTTGGAGTTATCTGTAGAGTTTCATCTAATGTAGGTTAATATCATAAGATCTACAAGCAAAAGCTCAGGAGGTTTAACCCCTGACAAAATAAAGTCCGAAACTTTATTTTTTTTTCCCATAATAAAGTACATTACATTAGCTTTAATTTAAGATATATATAAAAGTGTCAGACCTTCCGGAACATTTTCAAAAGTTAAGTTGAAAAAGTTATCATTTTAAATTCCCCCCTGTGTGTAGGTAAAGGGTTAGATTTATAAAAAAAATATATCAAATGATAGGTAAAGACATCAAGCATCTATGAAAAAANAAAAAGTTATCATTTTAAATTTCCCCCTGTGTGTAGGTAAAGGGTTAGATTTATAAAAAAAATATATCAAATGATAGGTAAAGACATCAAGCATCTATGAAAAAAAAAATGATATTGATTCGGTAATTTTTAAAAAGTTATGGCAGTTTTAAGTAAAAAAATTGAAAAAATTTCCAAAATTAGAAAAAGAATAGAAATCAGTTCTGTGAGAGCTGAGAAAAAGTGGTATATTATCTACTAATAAAAGTAGACAAAAAAAACACATCATAGTAAAACTAATACCTTCTCAGCTTTGCATCCAAGCTAAAAGTAAAAAGTGTGACAATTTTTATGCTTACATACCCTAGTTTTGAGATAAATTATTAATACTTACTAAACAAACAGGATCTGCTGAACTACAATTATTTGCCAAACCTTTATGATTTTGCTCTCTGTAGTTGAAAATCAGAGACTCGTTAAAAAATTGTTTGAACTCATTTTTAGATTTGAATTCCCTAAAATATATAATAATTTAAAATCCAAAGTAGTTTAAAAATGTTGAGAAATACTTAATTTTTGATAGATTATAATAGAAAACAATATTTCCTGATCAAAAATTTATGTTAAAAGTATATATAAGATGACGTCTTACATTTTTTTTATAAAATAAACAGTTTTAATAATACTTAAATGTTAACAATAGCATTATAAATTGATATATTTACATAAAAAACTAATCAAGAAAATTAGGAAGTTTAATTAATAAACACAATTTAAATTTTCAAAATACTAAAAAAATGTGGTCTAATCTCACAAACTTAACAGAGCAAAGTAAAATGAGGATAGTTGTTGTGTTACTATATAACTTTATTTCAGTTTTTTTTTAATACCAAATGTTAGTGTTCATTAGAAAAAGCAACTTCCTTTTTTCAAAAGCGTTTCTTTTTAAAGAAAAATAATGTTTAAAAAACATTAAATTAAATTCATTTTTAACAAATAAGTTAATTATATCACTTTCAGCAATATTATATGGTTAAAAATTTGAAGTTTAAAAATGTAAATTTTGTTATAGTTATTGTCTATTTAACATAATTTATATAAAAACATGTTGAATTGGGAATTTAAATGTCTGTACAAATTTGATTATGAAATCATATACAATCGATCGATTATCATAACCCACTCAATTACTTAAAAAATATAAATAATTTCAAATATATATAATTTTTTTTTGTAGTAGTTTAATTTTTTTTTTCTATAATATATAGTAGTTTAATGAGCTATGATAAACGAATCACACTGCATAATTAATCGGCGATTTTAAAAATGTAATAAAAATAAAATTTGCATCATACGTGCATATTAATTAAATTTGTGATTATTTTGTTAGTATGTGTTTAGCACTAATGATGGTAACATTATTCGCGAAATACGTTTCGTATTTTTGTGGTTCTTTAAGTTAAATATTTTTAATATATCAAATACATTTTTAATTTTAATTATTATAAGGCATAAGGCATAAGTGAATAATTCATGTTATATTTTTTTGTTAAATTATTTTAGTATAATAATCTCTTCATTTAATCAACCATAGCTTTTTTAGAACATAAAAAGTACACAAATATTTTTTGTACCATTTGTTTTGAGGTAAAATTTTATAATTGTAATGTACTAGATAAAAATATAACCCATTACACTTAATTAGAACTAAAATATTGTATTAGTATTACATGTTTAAATTAATAAATGACAGAAAAATACAAAGTGATTATAAATATTTTAGTAACTCCTATTTCATCATCATACATTCTCGGCTACATCTCCATATCGTAAAAAAAATTATGTTTTTTGATTCTTTAATAGTTATATTAGATCTGTATATATAAACTATTTTTAATCTATTTGTATTAAGTTGAACTGAAGTTTGTGAAATTTGTATTAAGTAAATAAGTGACTTCAGTGGCGTAGATACGATTATTTTCTGGTGGGGGGTTATTGCATATTAAATTTTTGACTAATTAATATTTAAAGATGAACTTTTTTATTTAAAATTAATTGATAATATTATTAACAAAATGTAAAAAATAATGATAAAAAATAATTTTGAATCGTACCTCTACTTTATTTATAAATAATTGTTTTTTTTATTTTGGAGGGTTTAAACCCTCTAAATCTCCCCTGTATCTACGCCACTGAGTGACTTATAAAAAAATGAATTATTTTGGAGAAAAGTTTCTCCATAACAATAAACTATTCTGTTAAATATTATTCAGTTTTAAATTTATCATACATGAATGTTTAGAAAATTTTGACGCATCAACAATGATCTAAAAATCATAATTGCACTCAAACTAATCCATGTTTTTGAAAAATAATATATATTATTTATATTAGATGTAAAATATAAATTTTGTACATAATTAATTTACTAAAATCCTGCCTTAATTATACGTGTAATATTAACACATATTAAATTTTATAGATAAAAATTAATTATTTTCCCGAATAAGATATTTTTATTATAGATTTGACTATCGTAACAAAACTTTGAGTATTTCTACTTCTAAATATTAAAGCAAGAAGAATAAAATATTTTTTAGCATTTCCGATGCTATTAGATTTTTTAGTGATGACTACTATTGATTTTTATGTTTGCTATAGAAGGCTTATGGTAAACTTACGTTGACTCTTGCATGAATATTATGCTGACTGTATCTGTATTAGGAATTTCCCATAGTTTTAAACCTACTGTCATTAAAAACACAACAAATGGAGGCCGTTGGTTATTGTCGCTGTTGGAGAGAATGTTCAACAATGGCCGAAGAGTTTCCGGTTTGTCAATGATCACAAGCGCACCGTCAGCAGAAGATCGTTTTTGACCTTTGAATATAATTTTTTAAAGTTCGTTTAATTATCTTCATTAAAAGAGCAAACATTCGCCATACTTTCTATCATTTGTCTATAAACAGAAGCATATCCATTAATAGTTTTAGGCAAAATAAAAGGTTTATCAACGGGACAAATTCGACCATTTGATGAATTTACTACTGCATCTAAAACGCTTGAAACTTTAGGAGAATCTTCAATAATTGCTACATAATTTTCCCAGCCTAAATTTCTCAACATTGTATAAATAGCCTAAGAAATATTAACACGATTATTAATATATCTTGTTGGTAATTAAATACTTTTTTTTTATATACTACAAAAGAAATTAAATACATTAGCTCTTTTAGATGTTTGATCCATTCCTACGAAGAATATGTTTGAAGATTTATCCTTAAAATCGATTTTGTATGGTAAAACATGAGTTTTATTCAGTAAAGATGTAATCCTTTGGACATTGACTAGCTCTTCTATATCGTCTGGACCTATATAACCTAAATAATAAATCACAATGTCTTCATTGAAAAATACATACAATTTAAAAGATAAAATAAATTGCCAGAAATAACAATCATAATATAACAAGACCTAAGAACAATGGTGGTTTTAGACAGGTTTGTTCAGCTGAAACTAATCCTTTCATTGTAGCTTTTACTGCTTTATTAGTATTTGAACATGTATCTAGTATCTGTAAGTCTAAAATGTAAATAATTTTCAATAATTTTTAATCTACCACACGCTACTATTATTATTTACTGATTTTCACTTCCCCGCTATTGCTTAGTTCAGCGTTTACCGCATTAAGTCCATTTTCTAATGCTGCAAGTTGTTGAATGCCTCTTAATTTTATTTCTAAACAATCCTCTCCGGAATTTAATGGTAAAAGAGCACCAAGAATTACGATGTCTTTTGAATTTTGATGATTTGTACATATCGGTATGGCCGATATGCTTTGAAGAATAAATAAAAACCACCAGATCTAAATATATCACAAGTAATATTCAGTAAATAAAATAATTATCATAAAAATTAATACATTACCATATTATTTTTTATAATTACAATATTACATTTTGTGACTAAACACTAAAGAAAAACTTACACGAATGCTCAGATAATTTATTTTTTGGGAATTTGCAATAATGTGGTTTACGTTTACAAATTGGATTGATTATAGCTATACATAATTCGATTAGAATTTGGCTTCTCTTTAACCTTCGAGTTTGTCAATCAATTTTTTTATGCACTATATATTTACGAGTTTATATTGTGCTAATAAAAGTGTTTATCTATGCTCAATGTATAATAAAATTATAAATTTTATATTTTGTAGTGTTAGAGAAAATTTTACAAAATTTTTAGGTACATTGGATAAGTGTATCTAATCATAGGCAGACATTTGGTAACATTTTTAAGAAGACTAGTATAATTTAATGAAGAAAAACGATTGGGGTAATAGCCGTTTTACCTGTTGAGTTTCTTATTTTCATTACAATTTTGAAAACCCACTTTAATAACTTTCACATAAATTTTTTTGTTAAATATCGACAGTGTATAGAAATTTATGTGGAATGGGATCTAGTGAGTAATTTTAAAGTTGATGAGTCCATTTTTTAGTTTCTTTGATTATAAGTATTTTATACAGATACTGATGTTTAATTAAATTAAATTTCTAGCTTTTTATGAAAGAGTTAATATCCAATGTATATTTAAACGTGCCAAATAGGAACTTAGAACATCGATTTTTGAATACTTAAAAAATATAAATACGTTTGTAATTTACGTATGTACATCAAGAACTAAATAAATAAAATTAATTGATTTTACTTTATTAAGCAGACATATTTATTCTATGCTAAAAATAATACGGATGCAATATAGCGAGTATTGTTTACATATTTTAAACACTTTTAATTTTAAATGTTCATAATTACACTTAATAATAAGTACAGTATGTTTACTGCGCAGAATGATACATTTGGAATGAAATATAGATACTGCCGTTTAGATATAGTAAGTTACGCAATGTAGTATTATTGAAAAAAATTCTAAGGATAATATATTTATCCATTTTTTATAAAAAAATGATTAGTTTCTTATAAAAAAAAATTTATTTGCAATAAAAAACATTGATTATAGATATATTTTTATCAACAATTTATGATTATATCAAACAAAATAATATAATTATACTGCTATTACTATTTATATATTTTATAATATATATTTTATATATTTTACTGTGACTACAAAAATAAAATTACAATTTAATACCTATCCAAATAGAACAAAGATTTACACTTCTTTGCTGAAATTAAAAGAATTACATTGTAAAAGTTATAAATTTAGTATAAGTGAACTTTATATATTAAGCTTACATAATAAATGCCATTAAGATTGTAAAATAATTTTAATGAATCAAAAAATCAATATCTGTTCCTTAGTGACAATATAGACGTTTTTTAATTTTGATTAATGAATAAAAATTATTTTATTTTGATTTAAAATTTTGTGTTATGTCATTAAATATGTTTAAAGATAAAAAATTACCCTAAAATTACTAAAATAGAAGATAGTAAATTGTTATAATAAATTAGTGGATAGTTGAATAAAATATAAAGTTAATTATGTAAATGTAATGAACCTACAATAAATTTGTTATTGTTTAATACATTTAGTTTTAGTTTTTATTTAGTTGAATTTAAGTGATTCAAATAATTCTGAAAATTACTCACTCTATAATAAAATATTTAACAATTATTTAAAACAAATTTTAAATTTAAAAAACAGACATCTTCATAAGTTTATTAATGTTTGGTGTATTATTCTGTAGAATATTTGGCGTATTTACTATTACGACGCATTATTTACTTTAAAATACAGGTTGCAATTAAAAGTAATGTTAAATATAACTACGTAGGTAACAATGTTTGTATTATGTTGCATGACCATGAAATAGGTGAAAAGACGTGACAAAGTAATAGGTGACCCAATGACATAAATTGATTGATAAATTTTATAATTGAATTTTGCATATTGTATATATATCTACTATAGTATCATTTATACTATTAATTTTTTTCGAAATATTGTTGAAATATCTAATAATATTAATAATTAGTTAAAGTGAAACGTTTCAGTAAAAAATACATTGCATAATAGTTAGTTAATGAAACAAAGAATTTAATCTTTGTAGTAAATGTCATATTTAAAAAATAAAAATTAATCTACAATTAATAACAATTTTTTCAGGAACAATAAACTTTACAATTTCATAAGATTTTATGATTTATTATTTTCTTATTAGATATAATATATGAAAACTCTAGAGTTAAAATATTAGATAGACAAAAAATTAACTCTGAGATATTTAAATTTAAAATTTGAAAAATGTTACCTCCTTAATTTTTGTAGCCTATTTAGGAATCTACTATTTTTCAAAAAATTCATTGTAATCTTTATTTTACTCAAATAAAGGTAATTTTAATTTATTCATAGTATTAGTTTGATCTTTTCAATTCTGGATGTTCCGTATATATTATATAATTTTTGATTCAATGAAAAAATGTGTTTTTTTTAAAATTTATTTTGGTCTAAAAATGGATTTTTGCGATTTAGGTCGATGCTGTAGATGTATAAATACATATTTTACCAGAAGGTTAATAGTACGATGACTTACAAAAATTTCCAAGAATAATAATTAATTTATGACCCTCAAGCCCCCTCTGATAGTTGTGTCTAGGCGAAAAAAATTGGTTAAAATATAATTAACTAGGCTTCAAAATATTTTACTGGGTGACATTCATGTTGTCTTATTTTTTATATTAAATAAAGAACTGATTACGCCATTTTGGCGTATGATGGTTGATACATATAAATATTAAATGATTAGTGATGTAAATATTTGGGAAACACGTTTTTAGTTCAGAAATAATTTATTGTAAACATTTACCCGATATTTATTTATTTTACCTTCGATGTGAAATTGAGAAGGTATTAATTTTAACATAATTTGCATTAATTTTTTTGTCTATCATTTTTTGCTCATGGTCTCTACGGTGACATACACTGGGCTAAGAATACTTCCAATCTATAAAATGTTACACAGTAATGAAATTAGTGAAATTTGTGTATGACTGTGAAACAATAAGTAGAAGGTTCAAAAAAAAAAAAGTACTATACTAAGTATAATGTATTTTTGATAAATAAAAAATTGTTTTTTGTAGTAACTGACAAATTAGATTTCCTGGATGGGAACAATTTTATTCTAATGATTTTCCAGTTTGAAGGGGAATCTTAACTAATAAAATGGTAGCTATTTCTGTAGTTAGGATTTTGAGGTCATCATGTAGTTGGTTATAAATTAGGGAGCTTTTGAGATAACCCGAATAACAATGCATGGAATGGCCTTATATTTGATATTTTCGTAGACTTTCATAATGGAATGCCATTAGATGGGTTGGAGAAGTGACTTGAATAATATTATACGAGTCAGCCAAAATATCAATTGTATCTGGTTTGATGCAACAACTAGACAAGTCCTAATTTTCTAGAAAATAACTTTTTATTAAATTTGTTAAATATAACTTTTCTACATAATTCAGTACAAAACGAGTTCTACTATAATTGTTAATAATTATATTTGTGGATATATTTTGTATATTTTTTAAACTATTATTACTTTTATCATCCATTTATTTTTCGATGATATTAACTGTAAAAATTCTAAGGAAATTAGTTAACATTCAGTCCCTTGAATCGTTTATCATATCTCCCGAAAATTTGTTATTTTGAAGTTAGGAAAATTGCTCTTTAGATCGACAACATTAAGTATATTAAACAATTGAATGTTGGAGTAAATGAGAAGCCGCAGCAAGCGCAGGTGGTTTTTAAGTAGTTTGCGTTAATTTTTTAATGTGAAATCTTAGCGAGCCTACGATCTAATAAGAGACCTAAGTAGTTTATAGAGTTTTTGTGTACAATAACTTCATTATTAAAAACAAGATTGAACTATCTTATAGTCGAAGAGTAAAGGTTACGTATATTATTTTGGTTAGTATACTTTAATTTTTCAATTTTTACATCACTGAAAAGGATGTTTAATAGTGATTGAACTTGGTTGAAGACAATTAATGGATTCAAGCTAACAGCTAGTATGACCATATTATCCGCATAAATTATCTAAAGTACTATTTAATTTTAGGATATCTGTATTGTAGATTATGTACTAGAAGAAAGCAATGTCACTGTCTTATGTAATATAGTCTATCCTATTATCTTTGAAAGTGGAAGTAAAATATTTTTTTAATATTTAGTTTAATTGTAATTTCCTGAACTATTGTTACTAGACTAGGAAGTATATATTTTACTTAGTAGTGTTATAGGAGAAAAGGTTCATGGTTGAGTCAGTTAGGACCTAAATGCTTTATTTATTTATAAAACTATTAAGGGATACGACACTTGGGAACACAAACTCGTATATCATAAATATTAAAGTGAGTAAAAAGTTCAAATTTTAGGATCAACATTTAAATTTCAAATATGTATAGTTCGTTAATATTAAATTAATATTAGGAAATTAATTATACACCTTTCTGAAACAATATGTAGAATAATTTTTACTGATAGCAAGTTTTTTTAGAAATTATGATGACTTTTTAGTCTTAAACACGTACTACTATAGTCTTTTGTTTGAAAAGATGAAAAATTATTCAACTAGCCTCTATTCAAGGTATCATCTCATACCTCCACTTTTTTCATCAATGAGTACAACTTTGAATAGGATAAATCAAACAGAATATTAACTTTTTTTAACTAATTTTTTGTAGCAGTTAATTTATTTTGTATCCTTAGCCTTCAAGAGACTGTACCTACATTTAAACTACTTTATATTTGTAGGTCAGTATGGTTAGTGTAGATGACGCAATAAAATATTACCTACTTATTTCTTGACAAAAAATGTTAAAAGCAAAAATCATTAAAAAATGTAAACCAAAATTACGTATTACTCATAGTTGTTCTACTTTTAAAGTAACGTTTACAAGTAATTATCTTAATAATAATTGTTTAAAATAACTGGGACAGCGGTAGTACCAAGTTTAATATAGTGATGTCTTCTATGTCGTATTATTTTGTGACAATTGTAAGTTATAGGAATCGGACCTACCTACTAGTACTTAATAACACGTCAAATATTACCGGGATACGATTTAATATGGAGATGGCTTCCAAAATCTGAGATCTAGAATGCGTTGTGCCAATAATGATATCCAACTAATCGAGTTTTTTTCTCAAAATTATTTAATTGTATTTGATGAGATATTAATTGCAACTCATTATGATGGGACTGTCACATATTATTTCCTTGTTCTTTACAGTTTACTATCGCAGTAAACAGTTAGAACCTTTACGATGTGGTCGATAACCGTGTTATTACTATTATGTACCAAGAATGTTTTTATTATAGCGGCTCCAAAAAACATATCAAGTCAAGTATGTATATTAAATACATAAAAAAAATGTTTTTTTTTAATTTATGAGCAAATAAATCTATAAGCTATTTCAAATTGTAAACTCGCGATACATTAATTATTTATGGAATTACAGGATTTAGATAAAGAAGTGAAAAATAAACAATGGTCATTCGATACTAACATTTTAATTTGTAAACCATGTGGTAAGTAAACTTGATATATGTTTACATTTTTCATTATAGAATAAAATACATCGCTTATTGAAAAATGTAAAACCATTTTAATTATTTCATTTATAGAATGTGGAGTTGGTTATCCAGGCTCACGGATTGTTGGAGGAGCTGAAGCTAAAGAAAATGAATATCCTTGGATGGTGTCGTTATGGAATGCAAAAAAAAAATTTTTCTGTGGTGGATCAATTATAACTGATCAATATGTTTTAACAGCTGCACATTGCTTTAGGTAAATATTTAAACATATTAAAACTACAGATTAGATCTAATCTGTATCTAAACTAATTAGTTTTTAATTTCTATTTAATTTTTAAGTGAAGACCCAGCATCCAATTTTCGAGAAATTTATGTGATGTTAGGTCACACTAAAAGACCCGATAGATTAATACTTGGTTATTCCAATGTAATCAAGGCTTCATTAGTCAAACTTCATCACAATTATGATCCAGAGGGAATTAGCATTCATGATAACGACATAGCTTTGGTTAAGTTGGCCAAACCAGTAAAATTTGATCAAACTTTACGAACATTATGTTTACCTAAAAAGAGTGAGATACAATATTTCAAAATACTTTATTTTATATGATTATAATTGATTTGGTCAAATTTTAGGGTTGGATTATAGCGGTTTATCTGGTGTTGTAGCCGGATGGGGACAAATAAGTGAAACCAGCAGTACGTCTTTGAATTTAAGACGTGCTACTGTACCAATATGGAGTGAAAAAGATTGTTCAGTCATTCCTGAATATGAAAAACCAGGATACACGTCCAATATGTTATGTGCAGGTTATAAAAATGGAGGCATAGACTCTTGTCAGGTAAAATATTATTACTATATTTTAATAAATCTAAATATTTACAACAGGTCCCAGGGAAAAGATCAATTTTTTACATTTTATTATCATTACTTTCAAAAAGTTATCCTTATTAATCGTGCCATATTTCCCTGAAGCAAAATATATACCTAAAAGGTATTAAATAGTTGAGATCCTCATTAGCTGGACGAAATAAATCATTTTTCATAATAAAAAATAGCGAATAAATAGTTTAATTTTTTTCCTAGAGCTCAATTCTATATAAATTTCATGACTATACATAATACTATGAAATAATAAATCTGACATCAAATTTATTCAAAATTCATTCTAAATATATATATATATATATATATATATAATGTATTGTAACAACTATAGCTCATTTACTAAAACTGTTTAGTTAATAATATACTATTAGTAAACATAAATGTATTAGATCAATATACTTGATTGAACGGAGTAAAACAAGTGAATCTAATTTCAAATTAAAAATTCAAAACTATCTCGTAGTTAAAATAAAAAATCCTTTCATTTTATTATTTATTATATTAACTAGTATTAAAAACTTATTGTAAATTTGATCAAATTTCGTATAGAGCTTATATTAAAACTTAAATTTTTTAGATTTTCTTGTATGGTTATTAGCTCTTGTATTTTAATTAGTGATGTTACGAACGCTAATTCTAGAGATAAGACTGAACTTTCAACTTTTTAATAAAACCTGTACTGAATGAAGCAAATATACCAACCAAATATATTATAAACCATGAACCAAACACTATTTTGTTTAAATTTCATAAAAAGAATTTAGTTATATCATATTTTGGTAAATTCTACACATTTTTTATAAATCTAGTTAGATTTTTTTCAATTTTAAATAGAGATTTTCAAACTAATCTATACAGTTTGGTTCAAAAATCAAGTATTCCATATTACTAGATTTAATACTAAAATTTTAGCGTTTATTGAAAGAATACTGCTAGAGTGGTAATAATTACTCAATGGATTATTCATCAAGCATTTTAAAATATACTTACTAAAAAAAAAAAATTATAATAACAAAATTGTTTGTAACTTTTTTTCTATCATATTATTTACAAGTTAAAAATAGTGGTTCTTATTTATGAAATTTTATGTTAGTTTTTTATTCCTGAAGGGATGAAAAAAAATTATTTATCTACATATCATTGTCGAGTTTTTAAAATAAATTTTTTTTCTTTATAATATTCTTAATAGGTTTTGAGAAAATGAATCTAATCTTAATTGATCACTCTGTATACAATTAATAATTTAATAAATTTTTTTTATATTTAATTTATTAATTAAATTTTTAAAAAATTATATCAATAGAAAGGTAATAGACTAAGTATTTTCAATTAAAATGTTGTTTTTGATCCTGTATTTCCAAAAAAGATACGACTATTTAAAATTGCAAAAAATAAAAAAAGTGCCGTTCTCGTCGTTTGCAAACTCTTGTATTACGATCTTATGTATTACTTGTCAATTCTGATTTAGTAAAAACTAAGAACACAAGATGGCATGTATCATAATAAAATTAATACTTTCTAATCTTCGCTTTAAATCCATATAATATTATTAAATATGATTACTAAAAATTATAATTATACTTAAAAATAAGTAGAAATTTAACGGTTTCATGTAATATTGACGCTTTTCATGATTATTTCATGAATTATAAAATTATTAACTCTTCGACATTTCTGTTTTATTTTATTTTTTGTATAAATAAAGTTCAAAATGTTTATTTAAAATTAAAATTTTCATAATAAATACTAATAATAACTCTACTTAAATACAACATTAGATTGTCTAATTGAAACGGTGTTGAACTACACCATTTTACGTTTCAACCTTCATTCAATCAATAACGCAATTAACTGCTATAATGTTGTTATATGTATACAAAGTTCTTTTATGAATTTTTATGAAAAATTATTGACTAATGACTATTATTTTTATTAAATATAATCAATTTCCGACAATAAAAATTACTTACTGAAGCCATTTACATAGGGTGTTCAGTAAATAAATAAACGGGTTTCTATTGTTTTCATTTTTTGTAGTAATTGACCTGTTTCCTTACTTACTGAACATTCTGAATAAAGTTATATTATTGGTTGGTGGTCACCACCAATAAATGTTAAAAATATAACTGATCTCCAGATGTATTTATATAAACAAATAAACCTTCAAAATCATGGAAACGAATATCAATTTTTAATTAAAAAAATACATTTTAAAATATTTTAACTTTTTTATTTTTATAATTAGCAGCTAACACTTCAATAAACTAATACAAGTAATATATTACTTAATATAAGTTAATGAATCTAGATCGATACATTTTATTTATACTGTCAGACCTAAAACCTGTATTACCATAACATTTAATGACTTACCACTTCCAACTGCCCGAAATGTTCGCTATACAGGTTTACATCTTTATATATAGGTGTACATGAATGGGCGCTAATATATATACTTAATGTATCCTTTTAAATAACCACTTTGACAACTTGGACTACTTCTAATATTAAAACATGTTACTCTTAATAACAAAATACTATATAAGTTACTATTAAAAACCTTATGGACTCCTACTATTAAATCCAACTCTGAAGCTCAGCCAAAACAACAAATATTAATAAAACACAAATATTTCAATCAAAAATGCCTCAGACACATTAATTTTTTATAGCTCAAAAATATTCTCCACAAAAATCTTCACATCCAAACGGTATAAAGCGCAGTTAGAACGTTCTACAAACACTTTCACTTCAATCTTGCCAACCACCGCAACGAGAAAGGCTCCCTTGAGACTTTTGGGGTAACATAGCCAATGAATTCGATTATATTCGGGTAAAATTTTACAAAATATAAAATGCATACATATTTTTATGTTTTTTAATAAGCGAGATATCTAAGGGCTATAGTAGTGGGGTAGTCATACATTTTTTTTTCATGTAGGCTAAAAAAAATCTGAATGACATATTTTTGCTTAAAAATAAAATTTAAGGGTAGAATCAAATATAACTACTTCGAGCGCTAGAATCCTTAAACTTAGCTCGAGTAACCCTGGTAGATGTCTAAAACATAATTGGTATCCTGATCTATTAGCTGATGAATAGCAACAACTCATGTCATGAAGTTTCTTCAATCAAACCAACGATCTTTATATAAACTCCTAAATCACTAGTGCTTATTGTAAAAAATATATGTAATTTAAAAATTGTACACAGTTTTATATAAAAAAAAAAACGATTTTTTGGTAAAATTTGGCAATTTTGTTGTTATAAAATATTTATTTAAGTTAAAAAATATAATTTCTCTAAAAAAAAGATGCATTGAATCATTTACTGTTATATATCAATGTATACTGGTGTCTGCTATGTCGTATCCCGATTGTATTTTTTTAGGAAAAGCCTATAGTTTGTAAGACAGTAAAAGTTAAATTAGAATAATTTGCAAACATTTATGTGATATAAATGTTATAAATAATGAATGTTATAAAAAGTAGATTTCAAGCTTTGTTTTTATGAATCTCCCTAAAATATCTTCTTTCGAGTGCCACCGTATTCCATAATTTATACTTTTTTATATGCTTGAATAATATAATGAAATTTAGTTGTAATTTTTCAATAACGGTTTGATAAATTTACTTAGGGTGACAGCGGAGGACCACTCATGGTTTATGATAACAACGATAAAACAACAGTAGCAGGTATGTATATATATCTATGTCTACGAAAGTTTACACATTTCAATAATTATTTTTTAAATCAATGGCTTAAAGTATACAAAACAGTAATAAAATTGAAATAGTTAAAAAAAATAGCACAATTGATTTAAAATATTAGACAACATAATTAATTCGCAGACAAAGAAAAACATTTAAATTTTATCTAATTTCGAGATTTAAATAGACTTTTAAAAATCTAAAACAATATTAGTTTGATAATTTAATTTCTATATTTTATAAAGAACCTTTTGTATGTACACTAAGCTATCATTAAATTTGATTTTTTTAAACTAATTTATATCTATAAATTTATAATTTATTTTTATTTAAACCACATTTATTGTATTAAAAGATACTAAACACTAATTTTTAAATAAATATAGTTTAAAAAAACTAAAAAACACGCTTTTAAAGCACATTGAACTAAAAAGTTCAAAATAATTTTTAAAATAAGCTTAAAACAATATTGAATGAAAAGTACTAGAATTATTGTGATAAAAGCGT